CATATACAATGTTCATATTAAGCCTGCGTCTCCAAAACATATTCAACATATACAATGTTCTCATATTTAAACATATACAGTGCTTTTACATTTCATTAACATAATCAAATTCTCAATATATGTTCAAACACCAACAAATAAGTCTGGATATTTCTCTCGGACTTCCAATTCACGCTCCCAAGTTGCTTCCTCAACCCCGTGATGTTTCCACAAAACCTTAACCAAGGGAATCGTCTTGCCTCGCAAGACTTGGTCCCGGGTATCCAAGATTCTCACCGATCTCTCCTCATACGAGGCATTATCATCTACCTCTAAGTCAGTCCAATCCAACACGTGTGATAGGTTTGGCTCATACTTCCGAAGCATACTAATATGAAACACATCATGAACCCCAAAAAGCTGTGGCAACAATGCCAAACGGTAAGCAACTTCCCATTCTTCCCAAATCTCATTAAACTCTGCCTAGGTGATATCTTCAAGAACACATAGTCTCCCACCTAAAAAGACAAGGGTCTCCTCCTACAATCGGCATAACTTTTCTGATGACTCTGAGCCGTAACCAACCTCCTATGGATAAGTGTCACTTTCTTCGTCGTTTCCTAAATCAACTCTGGACCCAACAAAAGTGCATCACCCACCTCGGCCCAGCACACAGGAGACCTACATAGTCGGCCATATAAGGCCTCAAATGATGCCATGCCAATACTAGATTGAGAACTATTGGTATAGGCAAACTCCACTAAGGGCAAGTGCCTCTCCCACGATCCCTTGAAGTCAAAGACATAACTTCGAAGCATATCCTCAAGGATCTGAATAGTACCCTCGAACTGCCCCTCAGTCAGAGGATGATACGCAGTGCTAAAGGTCAATCTAGTGCCCAAGGTACGCTGTAAGCTCTGTCACAACTGAGCTGTGAAACGCGAATCTCTATCTGAAACAATCGTAACAGGAACCTCGTGCAACCTCACTATATCCCTGATATATAGGTTGGCAAGATAGTCTACCGAATCACTCACGCACATAGGTATGAAGTGCGTAGACTTGGTTAACCGGTCAACTACTACCCAAATGGCATCACTACCCCGTTAAGTCCTTGGAAGGCCCATAACAAAATCCATCGTGACATGCTCCCACTTCCACTCAGCGATAGGCAAGGATTGCAACAAACCCGCTGGCCTCTGATGCTCGGCCTTCACTTGTTGACAGGTAAGGCACTTCGACATAAATACGGCGACATCCTTCTTTATACCTCTTCACCAAAACTGGTGACTAAGATCGTGATACATCTTTATGCCTCCCGGATGCACCTCAAGGAGCGAATGGTGAAACTCTCGGAGTACTTCCTCTCGACAAGACTCCAGCATGAACAAAAGGTCACGATATCTCACACTCAGGTCGGGATACACATTCAAGCCTCTTTCTACATTCCCACTAGAGATCTTCTCCCGGAGGGTTTCTACTTCAAGATCACTCTTCTGTGCTTCTAACACTCGGTTCACAAGTGTAGGTTGGGCAACTACCATAAATAAGGCCGCAGATTCAACGGACTCGCCAAGATGCGAGTCAAACTCCCCAAGAGCACCTAACATCTCCCACTCCCGGATGGCAATACTAGCCATACTGCTAATAGATTTCCTGCTCAAGGCGTCGGCTACAACATTGGCCTTTCGAGGGTGATAATGTAACTCAAAATCATAATCCTCTATGAATTCCATCCACCTTCTCTGCCTCAAATTCAAATCCTTCTGTGTACACAGATATTTCAGACTCTTGTGATCAAAAAACACCTCGAATCGCTCACCATACAGATAGTGTCTCCAAATCATCAAGGCAAAGATCACTGCCGCTAACTCTAGATCGTGAGTAGGGTAATTCCTCTCATGTGTTTTCAACTGCCGTGAGTCGTAGGCTACTACCTTCCCCACTTGCATCAAAACACAACCCAAACCTTCCCGTGAAGCATCACAATAAATTGAATAGCTCAAACCCCTCTCCGGAATAATCAAGACTGGAGCAGTGGTAAGTCTAACCATAAGCTCTTGAAATGACTTCTCACAAGCCTCATTCCACACAAACTTGATCCCTTTCCTCGTCAATCTAGTCAATGGTGAGGCTAGCCTAGATAAATTCTTCACAAACCTCCGATTATACCCTGGCCAACCCAAGGACACTACGGATCTTAAAAGCATTCTTAGGTTGTGCCCAATCTTGCACTGCCTCTATCTTGGATAAATCTACAGTCACCCCTTCCCTAGATACCACATGGCCTAAGAACTTAACTTCCCTCAGGTAGAATTCACATTTCCCAAACTAAGCATACAGCTCGTGAGCTCTAAGCAACTCGAGCACTACTCGCAAGTGTTCCTCGTGCTTCTCCTTAGAGGGTGAGTAAATCAAGATGTCGTCCACGAAGATGACCACAAAACGGTCTAGAAACTCCCGGAAGACCCGATTCATCAAATCCATAAATACAGCCGGTGCATTGGTCAGCCCAAAAGGCATCACTAGAAACTCATAATGGCCATACCACATACGGAATGTTGTCTTCGGGATATCCTCATCCCTTACCCTCAACTGGTGATAACCCGATCTCAGGTCTATCTTAGAGAAGGAACAAGACCCCTTCAACTGGTCAAACAAGTCATCTATACAGGGCATTGGGTACTTGTTCTTGACAGTTATCTGGTTCAACTTCCGATAATCTATACAAAGTTGCAACGCTCCATCTTTTTTTTTTTAGTAAAGAGAGCTGGTGATCCCCAAGGCGAAGTACTAGGGTGAATAAAACCCTTATCCAACAATTCTTGGAGTTAAATCTTCAACTCACTCAACTCAGCAGGTGCAAACAGATACGGTGCCATAGAAACTAGTGTCGTGCCAGGCACTAAATTGATAGAGAACTCGATCTCTCAGTGAGGTGGTAAACTAGTGAGATCGTCGGGAAAGACATCCGGGTATTTACAAACTACCCTTGGCAACTCCACCCGGACTTTATCACACTCATTACTCAAGAAGGCAACTAAGTTCCCTCCACCCATGCGGATCATATATCGGTGATAAGTCTATCCACGTGGTCCCTGAAAAAGTAAAACAATCACCGCTCAAGGTACATACAGTAACCCTCTAACGGTAGCAATCTATAACAGTTCGATATGACGATAACCAGTCCATACCCAAGATGACATCAAAACTAGACATATCAAGCAATACAAATGCAAAAGGTAATCATCGACCAGCAGCCTCGATATGTCTCCCTGACCACCCCTCCCAGAACCCAAACTCGGTACTAGAAAAGTGGACCTCGACTGAGCTCCCTGGGACAGAAAAGTGGACCAACCCTCTGCCTCTTACTGTCCCCTTAATTGTATTGACTCCTCTAGAAGCCTTTCATCCTCTCCTCCTCCGTCTGCATGATAGTCTCAAGATGGGCTACAGCCTCCATAAGGCGTCCATAATCTCTAATCATGGATCCGGCCACTCTAAACATGAGCCTGATCCTCAACCCCTTCTCGAACTCCAGACAACAGCACTCATCAGTTGTCACGAGTTCCGATGCAAACCTTGACAAGCTGGTGAATGTGGCCTCAAACTCGGCCACTAGTGTATTCAACTACACCAACTTAGAGAACTGGTCTCTTAACTTCTCCCTAACAGTGGGAGGCAAAAACTTGTCCTGGAAGACATCGACAAAAGCCTCCCAAGTCCCTCCAATGCGCCCTCTCGCATACTTCCACCATTGACCCATGTCTGCCTTCAGCTAGAAGGACGCCAAGCTCACTCTCAAAACCCCATTTTCGATGCCGAGCATCTCAAACATCTTCACCATCTGCTCTAGCCACTCATCCGCTTTCAGTGGCTCCTTGGGATCACTTAAAAACTTATCCGGATTTGATCGAAAAAACTCTTTTGCAGAAAAGATGGCCCTGCTTCAGCTACTTGGGCCTAGACTTAATTCTCAGCCCTAAGCATGCCCATGGATTCCCGCAATGCTCCGGCCATTTCGCGGGCTAAGGCATCCATGGCCTGTTGACCAACTGGTTCGGCCACATTGGCCTAACCAATCCCTTCATTCTGTGCCGGAATATCATCCGATAGAGGCATCTCATGCCTTCTAGGCCTACCACGCCTACCACCACCACGTCCATGTCCTGACATCCTAATAAAGGTAACAAAAGGTATTAGCACATTTACAAATGTGTCGAAGCTAACTCACTTGTGTCCTAATGCGATGAACAACAATAAATCACTCCATATAAGCACATAATCACATAAACACATATGAATTCCCTTCCTCGTCAATGACCATCCCGCGGCATTGCTAGAGTTCTAATTAGAAACAACAGTGATCAAGTGCTCTTCTAATAGGACTTCCAGAAACTCGTAGGCCCAATCAACATCTTAGGAACCAAATCCCATACCCATATAATCATATAAGCATGTTATCACATAAACATACAATACATACGAACGTCTTAGTCGAGTGAGACAAACCATTGTGATACTAACCACTTCCCACGTACCCAAAGTATTAAAACCCCGTACACTCTGATACCAAGTTGTAACGCCTCCAAAATAATACGATAAATCCAACTCATAAGAGGAAGAATAATAGAAATAGGATACTTTCATTCATCAGAGTTCGTTTACAAAAGTTAACACATGCGATATACATTCATAAATGTCATCTTGAATCTACAGTATGTGTTGTAATGATAAGAGAATTGAAACTAAACAAATAGTCATATGCCCTATAGGCTTACATCTTTCCAAGTCATTGCTTGGTTACACAAAAGTGAGCCTAGCTCAGTACAATTTATGCCTTTGGCTATACAAAAGAATATAACCAAATAAAGAATCTCTTGCTCCCAAAAGTCCCTCCAAGCTATTGCCTTGACGGAGGCATGTCAGCAGCACCTGAAAATGGTTTTTCCTAAATAGGGTGAGTCAAAGCCTAGTAGGAACAATCTAACACAGTATATGAAATTTAACCAAAATGTAAGTGTAATGTGCATATACAATGCTGGTGACAAAATATCCACATTTTATATAACCATAAAGCACCAAGGTTCATATTTCAATTCATTTTCCTTCAATTCATTCCAAGTTCATTTATTATTCTCAATTCATGAGTCAATTTCATTATCTATCAATAACCCAACTGAGACTACAACTCAGTAGTTTTCCAATTCAATACACTACCACACAAACACTTCAATCTACCATTTTACGAAAATTTTATCCGCGGGATCGACACCCATGTATACACAAGATTTCGAGACTTTCACCCTGGACACTCCGGCCAACTTAATACAAATTAGAAGTGGATAAGAGACATTGAATCTATTTGTTTCAGGCACAGCAATTCATAATTGCTTCATTCTTGCTAGAAACAAAATATATTTAAAAAATAAAAACGAGGAGAAGAGGAAGGGTAAAACAGGCCTCAAATGTTAGATAGTGTAGAAGGCTATTAATAAACTTAAGCATACTTCGACACAACAAACATGACCGAGAGATTGCAGTTCCTTTTGTGTTAACAGCACGCACACCCTACAATCAGATTGCAGTGAAATTAGACAAACAAAAGGAACCAACATTCACAAATTATGAAACAGATTTCTGCTCCATACTTTATGTATTTTCCATGCCCCACAAAGTTGGAGATCCACATGCTCATAATGAAACAGGAAGCGGAATATCAGCTGGTATTTTGTTAAGGCTTTTCTTGATATAACAAGGGACAATGGCCATTGAACCTGAAACATGAAATAAACATCAATGAACTTATTGATGACAACCACCTACTACAGACCAGAACACATCCTGCTAAGAGCAGGTGCCATGCTGATGCTGACACAATTTCTCACTCAAACATGTTCTCACCAAGATCAGCAACAATCTCAGCTACTACTAGATACTCAATTCAATATGCCTTTATTTCAATTACTTGGGGTAGCAAGGAACTTGGATCCATTTCCGCGAATTGATTCTATTCAAAGTCATACTCTCAGTTTAATTTAAGGTAATCTTGTCATTTCTTATCACCTAAGCGCATGTTCTCCTTCGCCTTCTATTTCTTTTATCATCTTCACATTGATCCAATCACTCCTCTTACAGTCATATTAATTGGTCTATGATGCACATTAAGCGCAGCTTTTATACACTCAAGATAATGATGATTTGCGCCAAAGTTCACCATAATGATCATCAATCACCCCTTCATACACCCATCTACATATATGAAATAAATTCTAGATTGAGTCATAAAATCAGCGAGAGTGAATTTATAGAGGATGAGAATATAACATCAACTACAACAAATAAGATGCTAAGGCAATGCTAACAACTGAGAAAGATACATATCAACAAATACCTAAATACTAATAATCTGCAGTATGTGCCAACCTACTATAACGTAAACACTGAAATTAAAATATTTACTATTTCCTTTTTAGCAAAGACTTAAGACTTCCTTATTCAATGATAATTATTTGCTAATTTACATTTTAAAATACCATTCCTCAAATTAATAGATAGACAATAGTTACTTAGAATAACATAAAACTATATTTTTTGCAAAGTTATATTATAAGGCGACGGTCAATGTGAAAAGTGTTCGGGAACAATAATCTACATGCTTGGGAAGAAGATGAGTTATTAAATCTCATTGATTTTCTGGGAACAGGGCCTAGGATAGGCATGGAGCATGAGAAATCTGTGAAATGGAAGGCTGATCAAGCAGGTGTGTTCAAGGTTAGCAGTGCCTATAAATGGTGTGATATGGATTTTGGTTCTGTCTACAGCTCTGCTGGACTGATATGGAACAACTTATCTACACCTAAAGCCAAATTCATTACTTGGTTGCCCTGGAAGGGTGGATTCTTGGTGCCACCCTAGTTGGAATTGAGTGGTTCCACTATGATGCTCTTTGCACTCATCTGTTTTAATGAAATAAGAATTTCATATTTCCATCAATAAAGAGTTCTCTTTTGCTGATTAAAAAAAAAAAAGAATTTGTCTCTACAAATTTATCAAAAAATCAATGTGTGGTTCGGATTCAACTCTTCTATAGTGGATTATGTACCTAGAATGATTCTAGAAGAAAAAAAATATATTTTTCTATGCAAATTTATGGGTACCAAGTATTCCCCAAATTGAAATATCAATAACAAATATAACACAATTATAACAAAATTCATAAAATATTAAATAACAGAGCAACGAAAATATAATTCTGTACAAAATTGGCATCAAGGAAGATATTTACTAAAAGAAAAAGAATAAATGATTTTATCACAAAACAATTCATATATATATATATATATATATAAGGGAATAAGGAAAGCAAAAGTGCTGGAACATTTTTGCTTTTATTATCATACTACAAGATAAGCACAGATGCAAACATCAGTTAATGTAAATACTCAAATCAATCAACCAATAGCCAAAGTCAAGAACAAGAATTAAATAACCTTACAAAAACATAGAATGCCAAATCTGTAAAAATAAATAGACTAGATCAATAATAACAAACAAAATTTTAAAAGAAATAATAATTTATTTTTAAAATTTATAACATAAAATATAAATAAATTAACACTCTGCATACCCCACACGTTTCTCAATCTTTTTCTTTCTTGGCCTTTAAAAAGAAATATTTAACACAAAAGTTCCCAAGTCCTTTTATTTTTTTTATGGAAAAAATTTAGAACATATATATTCTACACATAGAACAGTTTTTGCACAACAGATTATCCAGATATAGAAACAGAAAGAACATTCCTCAATACAGAAGCAATTTAAAGAAATTAAAAATAAAAATGTAAAATTTTGTTTTTTAAAATAATACTCAAAAACAGAAAACATTCTATACATACATAAAACACAAAACAAAATACACAAGAACACAACTAACACTTCTAAGAATATGAAGATTAACCTACCCACACAAATACATTCAAAAACACAAAATTAAAGAAAACGTTTTCAGTCATTATTGATTTGGAGTATTAGTTTTCTTAAGGGTGTTTGGGTTTTTTTCAAGTGTCCTACTATTAGGCAGGTAGCCTATAAATAGGGTGATGTAATTTCATTTGTAGTGTAATTGAAGAATATTGACATTGATTAGAACAAAGTGTTCTAGTTCTCTTTCTTCTCTCTCTACCACCTTCTTGCTCTCTTGGATTCTTAATTTTCTTCTCTCTTGTTTCATGATATTCTTTCTTGGGTCTAGAGGAATAACATATAAATTTATTCAATATTAAAACCCAAACCAATATGTAACTTCAAAATACAATAGAAGAAGAAGATGAGTAGAGACAGATGAATTTTTCATTCGGGCATTGCATCAAACAGTTGGAAGACATAAGATGTAACAGGAAGAACAAATTCATGATAAAGAACAAAAGTATAAAAAGTACAAATCAACAACCACAAATCCAATTCAATGTGAGGACAAACCAAACTCAGACACAGAGAGCCAAGAGAGTTCTCAATCAAGCAACCATAGAATAATGAAATTAAGAATTGGATTGCACAACTAATGGCATATGGACGTTGAGGAAGGGCATACTTCGTGTGTTTCTTGAACAAGATTGACAACAATTTGCATCAAGGCAACAATTACACCTATTATAAAATAGAAGAACTTGTGAAGGAAGACTCAAGAGAAAGTTGCAGCAGGTCAGGTGGCAAGAGGTGAAGGGCAGCTTGTTTGAGAAGCATCCTCTTCCACCGAGCTTGCTGAAGACGCCCCAACAATGCATATCTTGTGAGGCAATCTTCATGAGGGGTGAATTTGGCATCTAACCTGTTAGACACATTGATGTTAGAGGCACATTTTGCTGTTTTTATAGATTGTTATAGATATAGATATATGCATACGTACATCAACACAATCAAAAGAAACCTAATTTAAAAAAAAAAAAAAAAAGTCAGATTGTGTTCTTCTCAAAATAAAAACCAAATTTATAAAACAACCTTCAATTTCACAAGAGCCCTTAAACCATTAAAACGATTTTCAATTCATTGCCTTTATTAGTAAGTTTTTGTATGGGCATGAATTTTATTTTTTTTTTATTTTTTTTTTTGAAATGACATTGGCATGAATTAACTCCCTATAATTAACAGTTCTTCCTCAGCTTCTCTGAAAACCTAATTAATTCCAAGGCAATGTTCTATCAACATTCCTTGAAAAGAAAAGAAGTGAGATTTATTGCCTTGTATCCCACAAGATTTCAAGCAATTCAAATGTGCCAACATAAGAGTAAGTAGATGATATTTCAAAAATCCATTGGATATGGAGATACAAAACCATAGTTGAAAATTTTGAATGGCTTTAAAATTATTTGGTAACACTAATTCAAAATCAGATTGTATACCCTGAATCATCGTGCAACAATCTCTGTACCACTTTCTAGGGTTCCAATCCCCACACTCATACTTGCATAGACAAAAATGACGTATCACTTTTCACAGATTCAACACGAGATTTAATTGTGAAACTATTGCATAATGCGTTGGATTAAAACTGGTGTTTAGGGTTGATTTATTTCTTTTTATTTAGTTAAATCCAATGAAGAGGGTTTGATTCCAATGAAGGAAACAGAAGAGAAAAAGAGGAGAGGACAGGCAAGGAGAGCAGAGGATAGCAGAGGAGAGATATACCTGGATGCCAGAGGAAGAATCCGAGGGAAGTCGTCGCCGCTGCTGCTGCTACAAACAGTCTGTAAGGGTAACGCAAGAGCGAGAGCGAGAGCGAGAGTGAGAGATTGTGAGGGTCTGTGCGAGTGAGTGTGAGGGGAAAGCAAAGGAGAGGAGAGGAGAGGAGAGGAGGGTTACCTAGAATTCTACCTACGTTGGTGTTGTTGGGGCTGTGTAAGGTGATATCCATGTACTGACCGAGATCGAGGGCGAGATCGAGAGAAAGTGGGCGGCGATGTCAGCTTGGTGAAGGTGGATCAACAAACTGATGCAGCGGGAGTGAACTCGTAGATGAAAGATGGAGATGGAGATGGAGATGGAGATGAAAATATCAGGGCTTCAAGCGTTTGAGAAATTTGGGAATTTTGGGTGTTTTGGGGCCTATTAGCAACGGCACAATGATGCCCATCGCAAAAAAAAAAAATTAAAAAATATATATTTACGTCGGGAGACAAGAATCGTTGTAAAAAGTAAGCCTTTCGTGACAGCAATAGGTTTACTGTCGCAAAAACCATTAAAGATGAAAGATGGAGATGGAACGGCACAATGGGGCCTATTAGCAACGGCACAATGATGCCCATCGCAAAAAAAAAAAATTAAAAAATATATATTTACGTCGGGAGACAAGAATCGTTGTAAAAAGTAAGCCTTTTGTGACAGCAATAGGTTTACTGTCGCAAAAACCATTAAACATATGCTTCCTACTTTTTGCGACAGAAATTACCATCGCAATAAGTGACTATTGGCAACGGAATATTAACCGTCGCAAAAATCAACTTTTTGCGACGGCAAAATATGCCGTCGCAAAAAGTTCTGTGTCATATACTCCTTTTTCTAGTAGTGTGTGCAACGTTACGGTATTCTTTTCAAATGGGTTTATCTATTTTCTTTCATAGAATTTGTTACAAACATTTTTTGGGCTGATTTGACTTTCTCTTAAAGGTCTCAAGGAAAATTGATATGTTCCAATTTCTTTTATTTTTCACCATCTATTCCTTCATGTTCCTAATTGACAAGGTTAATGATCTTATTTTATTGAATTTTAGATCCTCTTTCTTCATTAATTTACATCACCATCTAAAATCTTGCTTTTATTGACATTATGTTTCAGTTACTAGAAGAGTTGAGGAAGCAAAATTCCAATGCTGAGGTCCACCTATGTAATGCAAGTATTTTACCTTGGTCATTCTCTCTCTTTTGATTGCTCTTAGTTTTACTTCTTTTTTTCCTTCTTTCTGTTCACTTAGTAGTACTCCCATAGATGAATAAAGTACTTGACTAGATAACGAAAAATTTAAAACTGCGATCCATCACCTATTGGAGGAAGTATATCCTGCTATTTAGTATTCTCCCAAGTGATCCATTTCTGCAATATTGAGGTATGTATACTTAAAACCATAGGCTTTTGCAATTGAAGTATATAACTGAAAACTCAAACCCATTGAAACCAATATACTATTCTTCAATTGATATTCCCTATTCTATTAAAGAAGCTGTATAAATAATATATATTTTTTCTATTTAGTGGGAGAGTCCATGCAACATTTACTTAATTTTTTGTGACACATTTTTTTCATTCATTTTAAAGATGCCTAATTTAATTATTATTTTTTTAAACTTGTCTCTCATGGTATTTTGGAACTATATATATGGCATGGAAAATAAGTATAGTAGTTTGTGTTTGAATTTTATGGAGTATGTAGATATATTTATGTCTTCATGCAACTAGAAAATCATGGCATTATTCTCTGTATTGCAGTATTTGCGAAATGTGAGTCAGACTCGATGGATTATTGATGATGAAAGGATGGGAGAAGCATCTGTTGAGGTACTATATTATGCTTCAGCTACAGTAATTGTCATTTTAGAGGACTTGTTTTTATATGTTTCATGTCATGCTAGAGGTATTTAATGTTAAGACATTTGAAGGAATGTGATCAGTCGGACTTTGTCTTTTGTAAGACAAGAACAGTCTCTACAAAAATAGAAAGTTTATACATATGCTTCTAGCCGTTTCTGAATTAATTTGTGTTTTTATTTTTCAGGTCAAAAATTTCTTAGAGATGTGCAAAATATGGTCAAAGAATTCAAGAACTTAGTTTTTCAAGTTTTTTCATTTTTTAATATATGTAAGCACAGTTTAAAACGTTTTAGCGATCTCGGTTTTCCCGTTTCTTTATTTTATTGTGTTCCGGACTTGGTTCCGTGGATGTGTTGTTGTCGTATTCTCTTTTACATCCTTTACTCTTTATATTCGAGTGTTGGGTTGTGTTGGGCGTGTTTCGAACGGATTGGTTGAGCTTTAGTCCCATTCCTTGTTACCTAAAATTTTGGTGTTACGCTCGAGCGGGTCCCTTTGCGCTCGAGCGGGTTTCGATTTTTGGTTGTCCGCTTGAGTGGACCGTTTCACGCTTGAGCGGAGTTTACACACTTCCAGCATTTTGTGCCTCTGCAAAACTTCTACAGATGCGTTTTTCACGCTCGAGCGGATTAACTTACGCTCGAGCGGGGTGTTCATTGTCTGTGAAAGTACTGGGTGATGGTAATCTACGCTCGAGCGGGCTGTCTCTTGCGCTCGAGCGAGTCCAGTTTTTGTGCTTGACGCTCGAGCGGCCAATTCTACGCTCGGGCGGACCTGTCTGTATATCATACGGGACTTCACCTTTTTGGATCACTTTTTGATTTCCTTTCTCTCTCTTGCTTTTTCAAAACTCCATTGGAGAGCTTCTCTTTCTAAAAACACAACCTCTCTCTAGGGTTTGATCTAGTATGAGTGACCTCCTACCCTTTGGCCTTTGTAAATAGTGTAAAGCTTGGTGTGGGCTTTCTATCCATCCGAAAAAGTTGGAGTTTGGAGCACTTCCGAGTTTTGCTCCTCTTCTCCTTGGGTTCTCCATTTGAGGTAGGGATTTCCTTATTCTTTTACAATGCTTCATCTATATATAGACATGTGGTAGTTTTGTATTGCATGAAAATCATGTCCATGTTGGGTTTGTTTAAAAATCATGCGAGGGAACCTAGGGTTGGTTGATTGGGAATGGATTTATTGTCATTAGTTATTCTTTGGACTAATGGGGAAGTAAAATAGCATGTTGTTGTTGAAATAAAGAAAAGCCCTAATTTTTATTTGATTTGAATAATTAAAAGAGGGGTTTTGTTCTTTGGGCCAATACTTTTGTGTTTTGGGTCTCTAATGAGATTATTGTTGTTTGTTATTGTTATTTGAGCCTTTTTGGTCAATATTGAGAAAGAGGGAGGAAAAACCCTAATTTAATGTTATGAATTAAATTGCATAATTGGTTTGGAAAGATATGAAGGAATGGCATTGGGTTTTAATAAATTAAAGGAATGATATCGGTTTTGTGAAATGGGAAAAGTGTTTTTGGAATAAGTGGTGGAACAAGTCGATTTCGAAAATGGAAAATGAATTTGGGAATTGAAATATTGTATCTTGAGTATTGAATACAAGCATTTGGGGTTTCATCTTTACTTATCATGCTTGTGGCATTGTTGGATTTGAGATCTCATGAGAGTTGAGTCTTTAGAATAAGGAGTATTAAAATCTTGCATCTAGAGGTTTTGTTCTTGGTCATCGGTGGAGGATGACATGATTGTGTTGAATTATCGTGTATGCATTACATCCGTGTCAATTGAATATTATATGTAATGAAGTGCTAGAATACATTTTATATATGTATTTGTTACGGAGGAGAGAGGGGTTGTACTCCAGTGTGTTGGAGGAGATAGGCGATGTACTCCACACACCTATGTGTTCATCTACTTTAACACATTACTTTTGTATCTCGATAGCCTATGTGTATGTATTATACTTGATGGTTGTGATTCGTTATATTGAGATGGTTGGTATCATATGCCGCGCTTATAATGAGGGGTACCATTACCTTCCAGCTCGCGCCTGGAGAATGTGGACGAGGTACCATTACCTTCCAGCTTGTGCCTGGAGAATGTGGACTAGATGCCGTGTCCTTTTAGCTTGTGTCTGAGGAACTTGGCTTATCATTTGTTGTAGGTGTATCTTTAGCTTACCGTGCTTATGGCAGGTAGAGCAGAATTTTGTTGCTGTTACCTCAGTGTATCTGAGTATATCATGAATTGAGATAGTTACTGTATTGGAGAGCCGAGTTGCCTCATTGTTAATTATATACATGTTGATGATTTATTATCTCCCTTATTGTATAAAGGCATGCATGTATAGATATGAATGTATTGGGAATAAACCAAAAAGCCATTTTGAGATTTTGGAAAGTACGAAGGAAATTAAGTATTTGAAAATACGTTTTGAAAAGGGGAAATCTGTTGAAAGTATGGAATATGGGAGGAAAGTAATGGGCTTAGTGAAACTGTTTTTCTAAGAAGTTGTTATTATTATGAAAGATTGGGAACAAGGGGTAATGAATAGGAAAGAAAGATGAATCGCTGATAGCGTTGAATGAAATGACAGTTTTTGAGAAAAGTCATACATGTGTATATTTGTATAAACTGTCACCTTACTATTCTAGTATGAGATGGTATTCATGATCATAGCTATCTGTATGTTGTTATTGCTAAGGACCATGTTGAGATCCCTACTGGACTATATGTTCATCCCACGTTGTTGAATCTTTTTCAGGTGTTAAGCAGGACGTGCTACAAGATTGGGATCTTTTTATTTGTTGGCCACGGGGCCTTCTTTGTGTTGGTGGAATGCCATATATGTAAAAGGGTTATACCCTTCTTCTTGAATCTTTAATGATGTAAGCCCAAGGGCAATTTATTGAAATATGCTCATGTTGTACTTACTTTGCATGCGAATGAGAGAATTGTTATTCACTTCTACGAGTTGAATATATGAGTTTGTTTCCGAATGTTATCTCTGAAATTAAATTAAGCTAATGAATTTGGTAATACTTCGAGTAATAAAAAGTGGGCGTGACAACTTGGTATCAGAGCGAGCCGGGTTTGAATACTTTGGGCTCGTGGGAAGTGGTTTTTACCACAGTGGGTTTACTACGTATGGTGAGGACTTTGCATATAGTTAACATGAACGTTAGGACTTGTGTGTTGCATTTATGTGAGCGTGGGATTAAGTTTCCTGGATAGTATTCATAGCCGGTGAACTTGCTTTGAGGTCCTCTTGGAAACACGCCTGATCAACGTGGTTTCTGGTAGGAGTTCCTTGAGAGTTCTAGGATGAGTGGCTATCTTTGTGGACTTGATCCGGTTATGTGTTTAACTGTTTAGATGTTTATATGCAATCGTAATGTATGTTTTATGACTAAGTGTGCCTTGTGACCTATTAGTGATAGTGTGTGCCTCGGAGAAGGCTATTGCGTTGTGCACTAAGTGTGGTTGTGTTTTGGATTTTATAGGATGTCTACCCGAGGGAGTAGAGGTCGGAT